CACTCAAAGTCCCATACTGAACACGCACGGTGATATGCACTCACCCCACCAGCCCTTCCTGAGCCTCTCCCTCGGGGCCAGACACGCCCTAGTGTGTGCCAGGCCCCAGAGGCCCGCAGAAGAGGACTGCAGCCCATCCTGGGTCCTCCAGCACCTCACAGAGTGCAGACGAGGGGACTGACGACCGAACAGCTGGCGTGCTGACAAGGGCAACCCGGTGGGGGCAAGCGTGCGGGTTACAAGAGCAAGGTCTGGAGGAACGGGAGAGGTGGCCTTGATCAAACAGGGAGACCCAACCACCCCAAAAAGAGGCAGGTAGAAAGGGTGCGTGAGCTGCAGGGGGGTCAGGATGTGTGGCAGTAGGAAGACTAAGAGACTGGTTGTTGCCATGGGAGGCAAGGTAAGCGTCTGACAGGTGGCGTGGGGTTGCCGGGAGAGGGTCAGGAGGAAGGACACAGCATGACCCAGGTGTTCTGGAGAGCGGGAAACACACATAGCAGAGATTCTCAGGCCGTCATATATCTGGAAAGCAATCGGTCTGCTTTTCTCCAGAACATTTAGCTGCTTCAGCAGGTGCCCGATCGGGTTAGGGCTGTCACCCACGCTGGTGAACGTTCCGCGTGCACTTGAACAGAAGTGTGCGTTCTGCTGTTGTGGAGGGACGTTCTGCAGACAACAGGCGGTCCGTGGGTTGACGCTGTTCGTGTTTCTCTCTTCTTGCTGGTTTTCTGTCTAGTTGTCTGTCAATGATCGAGGAGTCTTGAGTCCCAACTATAACTGTGGGTCGTCTACTTCTCCTCTCAGTCGTTTTACTTCTGTGCATTGTAACTCTGCTGTTTGATTGCTGTTGTTCAGTAAAAATACTCTATTGTCCTTTCCCCAGATATGTACTGTTTCCATCTTTCCCTCTTCATTCCTGATCTTCCAAGTTTTCTGTTCACATTGTCTTTCTGTTTGAAGAACTTCCTCCAGCAATTATTTTAAAGCAGGTGTTCTGGTGAAAACTTATCTTAGTTTTCCTTCATCTGAGAATATTCTGCCTTCATTCTGAAGGATATGTTGAGTAGATACAGAATTCTGTTTGACAGTTCTTTTCTTTCAACATTTGAAAAACGTGCGACTTCCTTCTGCCCTCCGTGTTTCTGCGGAGGAATCTGTTGTCATTCAAGTGGTTGTTTCCCCATCAGTAATGCGTCATTTCTCTCTATTTTCCTTTTTCTTTTTTTTGTCTTTAGTTTTGAGAAATTTGATCATCATGTATCTGGTGATGGATTTGAGGGAGTTTATCCTGTTTGGGGTTCATTCAGCTTCTTGAATCTGTAGGTTTATCTTTTTCACCAAACTTGGGGAGTCTTCAGCCACCATTTCTCCAATGTTCATTCAGTCCACACCCTTTCTTCTCATCTCCTCTGGGCCCCGCAGAGTGCAGCTGTGACTCTTGTCCCACGGGTTCGTGGAGCTCCGCATCATGCTCTTTTTCTTCAATCTACTTTCTCTCCATTGAACTGATTGGATTATTTATATTGATCTCGTTTCAAGTTCACTGACTCTTTTCTGTCATCTCCTTTCTTTTATTGGGTCTACTCACTGAGTTTTAAATTTCAAATATTGTATTTTTCCTGTTCTAATGTGTCCACCTTTTTCTTTTTATATCTTCTGCTCTTTTCATGAGACTTCCTATTTTGCCCTTTATTTTAAGGGTGCTCAAACTTCTTGTTGATGCATTTTTACAATGGCCACTTTGAAATTCATGTCCAAATGACATGCAGTTCCAACTTCCATGTCATTTAGGTGTTGGTGTCTATAACTGTCTTTTCTCAGTCAAGGTGAGACTTTCCTGGTTGTTGGTGTGGTAAGTTTGTATCCTGGACATTTTGAGTATTATGTTATGACTCTGGTTCCTGTTTAAAGACTCTATTTTAGCAGGCAGTTAACCCATTTAGATCAGAGCACACACCCTCACGCCAACTTAGTGTTCTGAGACTTTGCATTACTACTCTGCTCTGCCTGCTGTGTGCTACCCAGAGGCCAGTCTGAAACCTGGGTGGTATTCCACGCCACAGTTGGAGTCTCAAAGCCTTTGCCGCATTGATGCTGGTTGGTTCCATGCAGACTGCTCAGAGGTGTGCCCAGGACTTCATAAACAGACATGAAGAGCCCCTTCTCCAGCTCCCTCCTCTCTGTCATCCTCCCTCAGCTCTCCAACCTGGAGGAGGGGTGCTGCCTCTTTGTCGTCCTCCACTTTGTGTGGGCAGGTATCTCCAGGCTCCCTCTGTCTCCACATCTGAAGCATCCAGTGGGGAACGTTCAGGTTCTTTCATGGCGTTCATCTGGAGTAGGGCAGACCCATTCAAAGGGGCTCTGACCTGCAGGGCCACCCTTTCCCAGAGCCTCTGGCTAGAGAGAGCAGACTTTCCTGAGCAGATTTTCTCTTTCTTTTTTCTCCTTCTCTCTCTAATTTGTGGTTGCAGATTGCTCTGGCACCAGGTCAGGATATACAGGGATGGCAGAAACAAACAGGGGACTGAGTGGTGCTTTGGGTCCTGAGTCCTTAGCCAGTCACCTTTTTTTCTCCACCTTTCAGTCTTCCGATAGTTGCTTTAGACATTTTGCCCAGGGTTTTTAGCTGTAATTAGCAGGAGAAATAGGGTGGATTGGACTTACTCCACCTTTTCCAGAATCATCAATTATACGTTTTTAAAGAACTTCTTGAGATGGACCGTTCTATAGGCTATGCATTACATATGCATTATGGATTGCTCACAAGCTTCTACAGGGCAAAGGGCCAGTTCTACTCAAAGGATGCCTGAGCCAAAGTCACTCCAACGCACAGGCTGGCTCAAGGGTTTGTCTTGGCTCCCATCCCAGAGCTGCTCTCTCCAGTGTCCCCCTGAGAGCACCTGCCTGTCTAGGGGCTGCCTCGGGGCCAGCCTCCAGGGTGAGGCTCCCATGCAGGCCCTGTCGGGGACTTGGCCCCTGGCGCCTTCGGGCAGGCAGGGTAGCACTGGAGCTGTGGTCTGGGCTTGGGATCTGTCTCCCTTGGTTCTAATTCTGCCTCTACAACTTACTATCTATGTGACTTGGGGCTGTGGCTTTATCTCTCTGAGACTCAGTTTCCAAATTGTAAAATAGGGACAGTAATACAGAATCCAACACGTTTTACAACCCCCACCACTAGCACCTGGTCCAAGACACCCAGATGATGACCACAGCCTCCCCACTTCCACTCCTGATCCTTCTTCACTCTGCTCCACACAGTGAAAAATTTAAAGTGAAAGCCACATCATTTCACTCTCCACTCAATTGCTGCTCCACATCCTCACAATGGACTTGTAGACCCTCCATGACCCAGCCCCTACTATGCCTTCAACTTCATCTCCTACCATTCTCTCCTTGCTAACCTCACTCTAGCCACTCTGCTCTTCCTTGAACACCCCAAGAGTGCTCCTGCCCCAGGACCTTTGCATGTCCTCCTGCAGGGAATGATATTCCCCTAGACAGAGACAGCATCATGTTGAGGGAAGGGAAACGGCATATACTCCCTGGGTTTGAATCTTGACTCTGCCATTTGCTAGGTATGCGACTTCAGGCAAATCACTTTTTCTAAGCTTTGGTTTCGTCACATGTAAAATCGTCATAAAAATAGTATCTGCCTACGTACTGTTGTCATGAAAATTCAGATTCTATGTGTAAGTTCCTTAGAATGGTGCTTGGCACAGAATCAGCACTGAATGTGATGTATAGAGATATAGATATAATTTACACATATCATATTTATACCATGTAAGGGCCAATATTATACACATGTGTGTATTTTACTCCCTGCTCCTTCAGGCCTTTGCTGTGACGTCAGAGAAGCCCTCCCTGACTTCCCCTATAACACTTTAGCCCCTGGCACCACCAGGCTCTCCACACGCGTTTTCCCAAGCCTTCCCAACACCTTCCACAGCACATGGCTATTCGTCTACTGTCTCTTTCCGTCTGTATGGAAGCTCCATGAGAACAAAGAGGCTGTTTTGCTCACGTCTGTCCTCAGCCCCCTGGACAGTGCTGTCCATGGACGGGCTCATTAAATACTTGTCAGATGATGGGTGAACAGATCAATGCAGATGCTCTCCTCAGAGCACGTTTTGAGAATGAAGGCGATGATGCACGTGAAGTTCTTAGCACGGTACCTGCACAGCCAAGGTACTGCCAGCTATTTCTCAATAAACATTAGCCAGTTTTTACTCCCACTGTCCCTTCCAAGGGCACGGGGTGGAGAGTTAAGCCACAAGATGCTCTCATATCCCGAAGGGAGACAGTGGGAGTCTCTTCCAGGGATCCAAATTTTAGCAGGAGCCTCGGGACAATGGAGGGAAGGATTCGACACGAGCACACCTACGCTTAGGAAGGAACTGTGCAGGGAGGGTACAGGAGAAGTTGTGCGAGGAAGAAACTGGAGGCAGGAGATGTTGGAAAAGGCCTCTCAGTCCTGACCCACAAGTTTACATTCTGGGTGCAAAGCTTTCATAGGCTTTTTTTCTAGCCCTGAGCTAACATCTGTGACAATCCTCCTCTGATTTGTATGTGGGTTGCCACCACGGCACGGCCACCAACCAGTGGTGTAGGTCCGTGCCAGGGAACCTAACCCAGGCTGCCAAAGCGGAGCTTGCTGAACTTAACCACTAGGCCATGGGGCCAGCCCCCATAGGCTTTTAATTTTTTTGACAGTCCTCACAACTCTGAGAGGGATATATATTACCCTACTCTTCTGAATAGGGAACCAAGGTGTAAGGCACTAAAGTAACTTGTAAATAAGAGCCAGAAGTGGACCAAGAACTCGTCTCCCTCTGCATCCCAGGGTCTGCCTCCTCTGCTGCATGACCTCTTCACCAAGATACATGCTACTCAAACTACAGTATTTTGTGATTTGGGTAAATTGAAAAATATAAGTTCATTTATCAATAATCATATATAACTATTATTTTTATAATAAATATCTTATATTTTTGAAACAGGGACTTTCAAGATGCAGCAATGGGACATAGACAGATATGATTTCCTTGAATCTGCTCCTGGTTTGGGAATGTTTGTGACGGTTACAACTTACAATAATGAGGTAAAACGTTCCTTTATGCTTTGTCACTAATATTTTTCATTTGTTAAAAATTCATGTGTCATGCATCCTCACAAACTTTTTAAATCTCTGCATAAGCACACATTAACCAGCACTTAGTTTCTAATGTGTCCAGCCCTGAATAAGGGACCACACAGAGATGCAGAAAGTGCCTGCCTTAGCTGAGGAGCAGAGATGCCTTAGCATAAAAAGTTTAAAAACGCAAAGGGCAGGCCTCACATTCACCCCCCTGAGGTTTGCTGGTCTTGTTGGACAGAGGGGATCCACAGGACCAATGCATCCCCGTGGCTTTGCAGGTGCCACAGCCCCATCCAAGCACGAGAGTCAGACAGGCCACCTCCTCCCTCCTCTTGTCCTGGCGGTGTGGCAGCCCCTGGTCTCACAGAGAGACCCTCCTCCTCACTGAGAGTTAGCGAAGGAGTAGAAAAGGCTTCATGGTCAAGAGGAAAGAACGTGGATTTTGGAGTCAGAGCCAAGTCAAAGTGTAGACCGTCATCTTCAAGCTGAATGTTACCCAGGGATCTGACTGCTTCAACCCTCAGTCTTCTCATCTGTGCAACGGACGTAACAGAGACGCGCATTCCCCACGTGCAGGCTCAGTGGAACCTGACTTGCTCAGCCCAGCAATCCAAACACAGTTGCGAGAACTGCTTCCCTTTGGACTTTGGAGTTTCCCTGGGGTGCACTCATGGGGTAGCAGGATGGTGGTGGAGCAAAGCCTTGTAGAGCAGAACAGGCATCCTCCGCGGTGAGGAGCGGGTACTTGGTGTAGACAGGTCGAAGTTCCTGTTCTCATGAACTGGACACCTGATGGGTCTGAGCTCAGGGCGAACACGTTGACACTCCCGCTCAGGTGGAGGCTGGAAGCCAGGTCACTGGGGACTCCACTCCAGCCAGACTGCTGGACACTTGATTCTTGCCTGTGTAGCAGTCTTTTCTTGGCACACTTGGCACCTCCCTGATGATAGTTCCATGGGGCCCATTTTCCTAACCCCAGTCACCTGTCAGTACAGCCACCTCGTCCTTTGCCCACCCCTCCTCCTATGCTTCTTGGCTGGTTACACCTCTCCTTTACCACCTCTCCTCTGTCCCTTCCCAGCAGTCCTTCAGGACCAGTCTGGGGCTATCTCCACAGCTTATTAAACACAGAACCCAAATTTTAGTTGGGTTAAAAATTGTCACAGAAAAACCTATTCACTGTTTCTAAAAGACAGAGAAGTTTCATTCTTCAAAAAACAGAATTGCCTGGGGCTGGCTCCATGGCTGAGTGGTTAAGTTTGTGTGCTCTGCTGTAGGCGGCCCAGTGTTTCATCGGTTCGAATCCTGGGCGCGGACATGTCACTGCTCATCGAACCACGCTGAGGCAGCGTCCCACATGCCACAACTAGAAGGACCCACAACGAAGAATATACAACTATGTATTGGGGGCTTTGGGGAGAAAAAGGAAAACAATAAAATCTTGGGGGAAAAAAAAAAAAAAACCAGGATTGCCTGAAACTATATCCCCTTCCAGAAGGGAGGAGAAATATGTTCATTCATCCTGCAAACATTCAACAAATATTTACCATGGGCCTAATATATGCCCAACCCAATTCTTGGCCTAGGAGAGAGACAAAATGCTCACCCTATAGCCCTGATTTCCAGGCAGGCTCTCTCCATCTGGAAGTGGGGTGACAGGAAATAGCTCCAGTTTCAACATTTCTTCAGGCTAAGATCACTTTTTAAGATCCTCATCAGCACCCCTACCAGGACTTAGACTGTCCCTTCTCGGGTCATTGGTCTGAGGACACAGGACACTCTAAGTTGCCTACCTCATAGTGTGTCCATTCCTATGGCATGTGATTGACAGCCCAAAGGAATAACATGGCTGGTAGGGTAGGTAGGGAAAACAACAAAAACAATATATATGTACCATACAAACATATGCAGCTTGTATTCCATTTTCCATTATTCCATGTCCAATAGTCCTATTCCATTTTGTAGAAGAGGAACTGTGGTTCTAAGAGGTCGAATGACTTATACAAGATCCCATTGTCAGCAAGTGGCAATACTGAGATTTAAACTCAAGTACATTCTTTTCCAATGCACCAAACTAATAGGCATTCAAAACATGTTTGCTGACTTGAATACTCATTGGAAGTAGACTATGCAGAATTTCAATATGAAACCGAAGCTCAGAAATAGGTAATGAGCAGCCACTGAATATTTTCCCAAGCAAGAGTTCTTTGTTATTCATACAAAATTAGAAATCAATTATGAAATCTGGAATGCAGTTTTATTTAACAAAATTTCCCTATCAACAGTCTATTAAAAGGAGTATACAGCAAGATCCTTTAATTTTCTCCAAAATTGAAAGACTTAAAAAGAGAATCTTTACTGCATTTTTCTATGTGTAATATATACCTTTTAAAAAAATTAATCATCAGGGAAATGCAAATCAAAACTACACTAAGATATCACCTTACACCCGTTAGATTGGCAAAAACATCCAAAACCAAGAGCAACAAATGTTGGAGAGGTTGTGGAGAAAAAGGAACCCTCATACACTGTTGGTGGGAATGCAAACCCTGGCAGCCACTATGGAAAACAGTATGGAGATTTCTCAAAAAGTTAAAAATAGAAATACCCTATGACCCAGACATCCCATTACTGGGTATCTATCCTAAGAACCTGAAATCAGAAATCCCAAGAGTCCCTTGCACCCCTATGTTCATCGCAGCATTATTTACAATAGCCAAGACGTGGAACCAACCTACATGCCCAGAAACTGATGATTGGATAAAGAAGATATGGTATACATACACAATGGAATACTACTCAGCCATAAAAAAAGACAAAATTGGCCCATTCGCAGCAACGTGGATGGACCTCGAGGGTATTATGGTAAATGAAATAAGCCAGTCAGAGAAAGACGAACTCTATATGACTCCACTCATAGGTGGAAATTAATATATTGACAGGGAGATCTGATCGGTGGTTACCAGGGAAAAAGGGGGGTGGGGGGAGGGCACAAAGGGGGAAGTGGTGTACCCACAACATGACTAACAAAAATGTACAACTGAAATCTCACAAGGTTGTAATCTATCATAACATTAATTAAAAAAAATTAATAGATGTTACTTTTGAGAGCAGTTTTAGGTTCACAGCAAAATTCGTTGGGAAGTACAGAGCGTTCCCACATGCCCTCTGCCTGCCCAAACAGCCTCCCTCACTACCAGCACCAGAGTGGTATGTGTTACAATCCATGAACCTCCGTGGATACATTATAACCACCCAAAGTCCACAGTTTACATTAAACTTCACTAATGATGTACTTTCTATGGGTTTGACAAATGTATGACTTGTATCCACCATTATAGTATCCTGTACAGTAGTTTCACTGCCCCAAAAATCCTCTGTCCTCCACCTATTCCTCCCTCTCTCCTCCCTCACCTTTGGCAACCAGTGATCTTTTTACTGTCTCTGCAGTTTTGCCTTTTCCAGAATGTCATAGAGTTGGAATCATACAGTACATGTAGCCTCTTCAGATTGGCTTCTTTCACTTAGAAATATGCATTTAAGGTTCTTCTGTGTCTTTTCAAGGCTTGATAGCGCATTTTTTTATTACAGTTGTACATCATTATTAGTCATGTTGTGGGTACACCACTTCACCCCTAGTGCCCTCCCCCACCCCCCTTTCCCCTGGTAACCACCAATCAGTTCTCTTTGTCCATATGTTAACTACCACCTATGAGTGGAGTCATACAGAGTTCGTCTTTCTCTGTCTGGCTTATTTCACTCAACATAATACCCTCAAGGTCTATCTATGTTGTTGTGAATGGGATGACTTTGTCCTTTTTATGGCTGAGTAGTATTCGATTGTGTATATATACCATATCTTCTTTATCCAATCATCAGTTTCTGGGCACTTAGGTTGGTTCCACGTCTTGGCTATTGTGAATAATGCTGCGATGAACATAGGGGTGCATGGGACGTTTGGAATTGCTGATTTCAGGTTCTTAGGATAGATACCCAGTAGTGGGATGGCTGGGTCATAGGGTATTTCTATTCTTAACTTTTTGAGGAATCTCCATACTGTTTTCCATAGTGGCTGCACCAGTGTGCATTCCCACCAACAGTGATTGAGGGTTCCTTTTTCTCCACAACCTCTCCAACATTTGTCACTCTTGGTTTTGGATATTTTTGCCATTCTAACAGGTGAAAGGTGATATCTTAGTGTACTTTTGATTTGCATTTCCCTGATGATTAGTGATGATGAGCATCTTTTCATGTGTCTACTGGCCATCCGTATATCTTCTTTGGAGAAATGTCTGTTTATGTCCCCTGCCCATTTTGTAATTGGGTTGTTTGATTTTTTATTGTTGAGTTGTGTGAGTTCTTTGTATGTTATGGAGATTAACTCTTTGTCAGATAAATAACTTGTAAATATTTTTTCCCAATTAGTGGGCTGTTTTTTTTTTTAATCCTGTTTTCCCTTGCCTTGAAGAAGCTCTTTAGTCTGATGAAGTCCCATTTGTTTATTCTTTCTATTGTTTCCCTCATGTGAGGGGTTATTGTATCTGAAAAGATTCTTTTGAAGCTGATGTCAAAGAGTGTACTGCCGATATTCTCTTCTAGAAGATTTATTGTTTCAGGCCTAATCTTTAGGTCTCTGATCCATTTTGAGTTTATTTTAGTAAATGGTGAAAAAGAATGGTTGATTTTCATTCTTTTACACGTGGCTGTCCAGTTTTCCCAGCACCATTTATTGAAGAGACTTTCTTTCCTCCATTGTAGGCCCTCAGCTCCTTTGTCAAAGATTAGCTGTCCATAGATGTGTGGTTTTATTTCTGGGCTTTCAATTCTGTTTCATTGATCTGTACACTTGTTTTTGTACCAGTACCATGCTGTTTTGATTACTGTAGCTTTGTAGCATGTTTTGAAGTCAGGGATTGTGATGCCTCCAGCTTTGTTCTTCTTTCTCAGAATTGCTTTAGCAATTC